TATATATATATATACTACACAATATATGTATATACTATTAATATATTACACAACATTTAGATAGGGTAAGCTGTAGAGTTCAAATGTCTCAGCCCTGATAGAAACCTTTATCGAGACAATCCCCGTGAGGTGTGCTCCCTAAACCCCACAACCCCTAAACCCACCACTACCAATGGGGCTCGAGTGCGGCACGACTGTGGTCTACACTGTTTGCTGAATGCTTTGCTCATCCTGCTAACAGGAGTGCTTTGCAAGTTTGGGGTGAGGCTCTCGACAACACTTTCATGGCCGTGCAGTGATTATATATGCAGTCTAGACGACATGTGGAAAGCTCGTTGTGCCAACATGGAGCACACGGCTCGACAGCTCATGGTGCTGGGAGCGCCGAAGGCCAGCATGTATGTATAGTAGTTTGGGAACACTTGGATGGCAGCCATAAACCCTAAACCCTAAACCCTAAACCCTAAACCCTAATGCAGATCTAAATGATTTTTGACAATGCAACGAATCTAAGGCTTTCATGAAAGAGTGATGCCACTTCCATGCAAGGTAGCTATAGATAGGTTTAGGGTTTGGGGCTCAGGATTGATATAGGGCTGTAGTTTGGTGGTTTGGGGTAAGTGTTTGAGATTTTGGGGTTTGCAAGGTCGGGTACCGTTTGTATATATACATCATACTTGCATCCCCCAAGTCATCACTCAGGGTTTAGGGGTTAGGGTGTATCGAGTGTAGGGTTTGGGGTTGAGGGCATGGTTGCACATGTGCACAGCTTTAGATCCAGACAACACCTGCACGTAACTAAGATATAATGCTGCAGATGGTTTGGGCTGGAGCCTGCCTTGTGTAATACAAGTAAAAAAGAAGTCCAGCCCTATATAGGCCCCCACTGCATGTGTGCACTCCATTTACGTGAACTGACGATTCTGCTATATAGACCTCTATAATTCATTCAAATGGTATATAAATATATAAACCCCAAAGCCCAGACATATCCCCTATGCTGTATACAATCCTGGCATGTGCATATGCCTAGCTTGTCTCCCCTAAACCATAAACCCTAGACCGGGCCTTTGTTGCGATCCTCAACCCTAAACCAGGCCTTTGTGGCGATCCTCCTGATGCTGAGCTGGCTGGAAGTGTCGCCACCTTTCGGATGGAAGGCTGTGGACTTAGTGGAGCTGTTTGCCGGGAAAGGCCGCATTACGCGCTTGGCTGCAGCCCGTGGCTGGAATGTGCTGTGTCATGATATGAAGTTCGATGCTTCTGCACATGAAAGTGGACACCAGAACTGCATGGACTTGACAAAATCCGCAGGATTTTTGTTGCTTGACTTGGATTCATGTCTGCATGCACTATATTCTTTTATGTTCTGTATGCCTGCATGCAGAACAAGTCTCTGAGGTTAGCTATCATGATGATCATGTGCACTTATCGGGCACTGGTCTGTGTGGGACTGGAGTGCTCATCTTTTGTCTTCATGAATTCAAGCACCAGCCGCCGTTCACCATTGCTGCCGATGGGAGATTGTTTGCGTGATCATGTCCGGAAAGCAAACAATTATGCAAGCAGGTGCATGGGTATTCAATATTATAGCATCTATAGGTCGGTCCTTGCAACTCATGTTTGTGTATACTGTCACCCCTATATCTAGATCCTGTAAATCCCTTTGACATGTATATAGGTCTGTGCTGCTTGTGCTGCTGGCACACGTGCTCGGAGATACTTGGATCATTGAGCAGCCATCCTCGAGTTTGTTTTATTTGCACACTCGGTTCCAGTGGCTCCTCCAAGTGTGTCATCCACACGACATACCTGCCTCTCGGCTGAAGTAAAGTATAACCAGCACCCTTTATGGAAGCACTGACAGATATGTGCATGGCAATGCAGGATCGTACTTTGCAAGCTCAGGTTTACAAGGTGGCATTGTGGTTGAGAAAATATGGGCACGAGATGCCCAAGCGCACACTGCTCTACAGCAACAATCCCCTTGTTGCTGCTTTCAAGACGGGAACACTTCACAAGAACGAAAGGGGAAACCATGATGGTATGTATTACAGGTTCCGGGACAAGAAAGGGCGCAAACGTGTCACTGGTACTGCCAAGCTGAAGACTTCTCAGTAACTTGGTCAATCCATGATCAGTTCTGCAGTTGTTCTCCTTATAAAACCCTGAACCCCTAAACCCTAAATCCTAAAGTTGTTTGTCCTATGGATTTAGGGTTTAGGGCTTAGTAGGGTTCAGGGTTTGGTGTCATATATATATATATTATATATATCTCTCTAGGGTTTAGGGTCTAGGGTTTAGGGTATAGAGGATATATTACATATATACTTTAATAAAATAAACAGTACATTAACCATGTGGTCGCACCATCGCTTGCATCTATACAGTGTGTATGCTCTATCATTGCAAAGGTGCTACCCTGTGAAGTTTGCGAGGGCGATGGTGAACATGATGCCCCTGTTCCGGGAAGGGCCTGTGCCGCGGCAGCCGCCAACGCAGGCAATGCCGTAGGTGCATGTTCGTCTCGGCAGCAAAGGGCCAATGTTGGACTTTACGGTTGCATGTAACATGTTAGAGGCATCTCCTTGTACACCCTGGACCCTATACCCTATACCCTAAACCCTATACTGTATACACATGACATGTGTGTATAGAACACGAAGCTTTCCTGCAGACTCTATGTTGCAGAAACATGACCTGCATTGGTATATCGCTTGTAGCATGCAGACAGGTGCAAGGCTAGTATTTTATGCAACCACACCCATGTCATGTGCTTCTACAATCAGTCTCATGCTGCTGGAGGATGACAACGACTTCCTTCGGGCTTTTGCAGCTTATCCATGGGGAAGGTGCACCGGGTCAGCGGAAATATCACTGCTTTGCTGTCATCATGTCTGTATATGGACCAAGAAATGAGAAAGGGAGAGAAGGAAATTATAAACCCTATCCCTAAAACCCTACTGATAAGCCCTATAAAACCTAAACCCTAAACCCTAAAACCCTGAAGCCCTATACACCCAAAACCCACAACCCTATAAAACCATATCTATATAAATGTCTCTATGTATATATATATATATACATATTATATATATATATATACATATATGCCGGTGAAATACGGACGAAGTGGTGCAATATCCAGTATTTCTCTCTCGCTCTCGCTCTCTCCGTTATATCTAGAATATGCAAAACCATATGGATTCTGTATCGTGCAGGTGGCCGGAGTCTTCGCTGGAGGAATGCATGGTCTACCTTCGATGCAGCTCCCTGGTGTGTGTTCCGGCAGAGTACAAAGCACTCATTCCGAAGTCGATAGAGGAGTGCCGCTGATGCTTCATGTGCTGCAGGCCTACAATTCGTAATTGTTGCATCGGCAGCCTATCGGGTCCTGAGGGGGCTTGGTGTCGGGGCTTTGTCTTCGGACCCAAGGAGCAATTTTAGGGCACCCTTATAAACCCTGAACCCTAAACCAACTGGTGGCCTCGGATATATCTACATCGCGCCAGGCTCCCAGAATGTCGGCCCAAATAGTGCTGATTAGTGGCTTACCACAGATTTGCACCAAAACTGAGAGAGCGGAATCTGCCGGTGAAAGAGCGGAATCTGCCGGTGAGAGAGCGGAATTACCCGGAATGCACTTTTACTATGTAGCTGCTGATCCCCGAACCAGGCTCTACGAAGCCCTCTTTGCAAAGGTTTTGCAGTTCCCTTACAGCCCCATACACACCCAATCTTTGCTTTCCTGCATTCCTCGAAAGCCAGCAGAACAGGCCCAAACCCAAAACCAGCAGCTGCAGAACGGTTTAGTGTTCAGGGTTTAGTTAGGGTTCAAGGTTTGGGTTTAGGGTTTATAGGGTTCAGGGTTTAGGGTTTAGGGTTGTATAAATGCATCAGCCACAACCTAGAACCCCGTACCCGTGTATAGACATCCATGCTATATATACCCCATGCATCCTATATATGTTAAGAAACCTATATATATATATATATGTAATGCATATATGCTGATCCAAAAACCTAAAACCAAAAGGCCTTCTATATTTCCATTGGCCCATTGCACACTGCAGTCGAGACCCCGCAGGTAGAAAAAAAGGCAAACACCCTAATATGTTTTGCTCGGTTCTTGATACTGCAGTCCCATTGAACCCATGCACAATGTTTATATAACCCATATACCCGACACACTACCATGCCCTCCATCCGTGGCTCCCTGGAACCAAAACCCCTAAACCAGTATATATGCATCATGTCTCGATTTGTGAACCCCCGAACCTATATATAGTGTCCCGATACTTTACAAGACCCATGCAGCCCTCTTTACAGCCTCTAAAGACGTGTCTGTTTGCACTGAGCACCCTGCACTGCTGCATCTCATCCCGGCTGACCTTGGTGCCCCGAGCAATTCGGTTCGATCGCACCATGCAGGAGAGGAAGTGTTCATGCACGCAGACATGCAGTACGGGGATGATATTCTGTTACATACTGCTCTTCTGCTTCAGGGTGCGTTCTCCTGGATTTCGACTGAATGCCTCGGTTGTTGGGGCTAGTCAAGTCTTGGCTGCTGCAATCGACAGTTTTGGTCTATATGTTCGTTCCAATACTCGAATCCACACTGGTGTTCTTGGATTGTGCTGTTGTTCTTGATGCAACCAGACCGCCAGCACACACGTGGCTGGTCTTCATCGACCCTTGTGGCAGCCATGGAATCGACAGATCATGCTTTGTCTGTCGTAAAGACCGAGAAGGACGACCAAGAGCTGGAGATGGAGCATGAAGTACAGGCCCGGTGTCGTTCTGTATTCCATGACATCATCACAGAATATCGTGTGCATTATAGGAGCCAGACATGTCCTCAAACCCCTATGAAGTCACAACCTGATTATACTGCCCTGTGTGCAAGCCAAGCATAGTATCCTGCTCTGTCCCAGACCGCAGGAGCTCTTCTCCGAGCTCATGGCGGATGGCATGAATGGGAGTGCCATCTGCTTGTCGGACGAGGAAAGCCATGCCGCCTGGATCGTCAGATGGTTATATATAAGTCTGGGCTTCTTTTCTTTATAGTTTAGGGTTTATATTAGGTCTAGGGTTTAGGGTTTAGGGTTTCGGGATATATATATATATAGGGCTTGTGTGTGCGGGTTTGGAGCTTATAGGGTTGTCGAGGTTTATATATGAGTTACTATACAATAGCAAATATAATTTGTTGTTGGCTTATTCTTTCAAGAACACAGTACCCTAAACCTATAAATAAACCTCATATAGCATCGTTTAACTGTGCAGACCTTAAACTCCAGACCTCAATCCTACATGGCAATCCGACATATTATGGATAAAACCCCAAACTCTAAACCCTAGACCCCTTATAAACCCAAAACCCCAAACCTTCATATATATAATATATAATATATAATATATTATATATACATATAGCATATATATATATATATATGAGGAAGAGGATGTGGAGATGCCTGGCATTGAAAGTGCCGAAACAATGGAAGCCATGCCACCCAGCCCAAAGGAAACAACAGCAGCAGTGGCAGCAACAGGCCAAGCCGAGTCGAGTAGCGCAGAGCCAACAGCAGGAGCAGCCCCGACGACTCCGAAGCCAACAGCAAGAGCAGCAGAGCCGACCAGTCCAAAGCCGACAGCAAGAGCAGCAGAGCCGACCAAACCAAAGCCGACAGCAAGAGCAGCAGAGCCGACCAGTCCAAAGCCGACAGCAAGAGCAGCCGAGCCGACCAGTCCAAAACCAACAGCAAGAGCAGCCGAGCTGACGAGTCCAAAGCCAACAGCAAGAGCAGCTGAGACGATCAGCCCAAAGCCAACAACCAGGGCAGTGGAGACGACCAGCCCAAAGCCCACGACAAGGGCAGTGGAGACGACCAGCCCAAAGCCGACAGCAAGGGCAGTGGAGACGACCAGCCCAAAGCCGACAGCAAGAGCAGCCGAGCCGACCGAAGCAAGAGCAACAGCAGCACCACCAGTGCACAAAGCCAAGTCAACCAATGCGGCCCCATTGCCCAAGACTGGCCAGGCACCAACTGCCATGAACCCACCGAGTGCATTCAAGAGCCTTGCAACGACACAGCTCCCGCCCGCAGCTCCTGCAGCCACAGCCCCACCCTCAGCAGCACGGGCCCCGCACCCCGCAGCAGTTCCCGCAGCCACAGCAGTGCCAAAGCCTTCAGCCCCGCAGCTTGCAACAGCTCCTGCAGACACAGCAGTGCCACAGCTCTCGGCCACAGCCCCGCAGCTTGCAGCTCCGCAGCTTGCAACAGCTCCTGCAGCTCCAGTGCCGCAGCTCTCTGCCGTAGCCCCGCAGCTTGCAACAGCTCCCGCCTGCACAGTGCCACAGCTCTCCGCCACAGCCCCGCAGCTTGCAACAGCTCCCGCCTGCACAGTGCCACAGGTGTCGGCCACAGCCCCGCAGCTTGCCACAGCTCCCGCAGGTGCAGCAGTGCCAGAGCTCTCGGCCACAGGCCCGCAGCTTGCCACAGCTCCCGCAAATCCAGCAGTGCCAGGGCTCTCGGCCACAGCCCCGCAGCTTGCCACAGCTCCAGTGCCACAGCTCTCGGCCACAGCCCCGCAGCCTGCCACAGCTCCCGCAGCTCCAGTGCCACAGCTCTCGGCCACAGCCCCGCAGCTTGCCACAGCTCCCGCAGCTCCAGTGCCACAGCTTTCCGCCACAGCCCCGCAGCTTGCCACAGCTCCCGCAGCTCCAGTGCCACAGCTCTGGGCCACAGCCCCACAGCTTGCCGCCACAGCTCCCGCAGCTCCAGCCCCGCAGCTTGCCACAGCTCCCGCCTGCACAGTGCCACAGGTGTCGGCCACAGCCCCGCAGCTTGCAACTCCCGCATGGCTCTGTGCCACAGCCCCACAGCTTGCAGCAGCTCCCGCAGCTCTAGCAGTGCCACAGCTCGCCGCCACAGCCCCGCAGCTTGCAGCAGCTCCTGCAAACACAGCAGTGCCACAGCTCCTGGCCACAGCCCCGCAGCTTGCAGCAGCTCCTGCAAACACGCTCCCGGCCACAGCCCCGCAGCTTGCAGAGCGTCCGTCTGAGAATGCGATCGACAGACGCATCCGGCGGATCATGGCTCCCAATGCCAACGGGTCGTTCAAAGTGGCAGAAAGTGTGCGCAAGCTTTGGGGCGACCTGGCCACCAGGGACCAGGTCGTGCAGATGTTCAGCGAGTGTGCATGGGATCCGGACGACAGGCTGCACAAGAATGTTTGATTTTTGTTATATATATA